GCACCCACAATGAAAGCGCAGAAAGGGGGAAGGAAACCTATGAAAAAACTGCAGTATTAACAGTTACACCACAAAAAAATAAATTGGAAGAACAACAGCATAGAAAACAAGAAAGGGAGATGAAGAAGGCAGGAAAAAAGATTCAAGGCTGTAATTCTATAAACAAAATGCAGTATGTTTACTATTGATAGTATCAATACTTTATACAGTATTATAACTGTATGAATAAATTAATTTTTTCAAGGAAAACCAATAATCTGCATTTTTATAGTTTTTATCCATGTTTAAGCATATACTGATTGCCGTTTCAATTGAAACACTTGATAAGTTCAGTTAATTAGCCTCCTGAAGGAAAATTACTGAAGCTAAGTTCCTCTTGACTTTGATAATGTTGAATGACACCCACTACTTGCTTTTGACACCATCTTGAAAGTTTTATGACTTTATTGTCTGAATAAACCAAAATTTGTTTCAACGCGCTCCGGTCTCCCCCTATCAAGACGAGTATCATACCATTAGACCACGGAGATCTATAGGATATATCATATATTGGGACCCAATGTAGACAGAGCATTTAAATTGCACCATCCTGTGTACGTGTCTACCAAATAATATGAATTATTGCATTCACAATTAGCTACGTGTCTTGGTCCAGTAGTGTTTCCAGTATGGAGATTGCAAGTTGCGGTTGAATTTTTCCTCCGGTCTTCTTTTGTATAACACCCATGAGACGATGTATAACTTTCTTATTCCCAGATCTGTATATCTGAACCTAAACAAAAAAATAATTACTGTTAAAACTTTTAACCAGGATGATCTAAATACAAAGCATTTTTGCATTCATGTTCTGTACTCTGTAACTAAGACTTCTGGTTTCATAAGCTTCATTCACATTAGATCGATCCACTATAAAATTTGAACTGCGTTTTTGCTGCATCTACTGTAATTAATTCGATTTTTTGATTGGTTTATTAGGCTTTCTGGTCCAAAAATGTGGATTCATTGTGAATGCACCTTAATGCAGGCACAAAATTACGCTATTTGCCATTAAACTAAAGTTAAACTCCAAAAATGTGCTACAATGCATCATGATTCAATATTTCAAACTTATATATTCATCTTCAAATAAATATTCCTGAAGTTGATGAGTTACAAATTATATGATGGCTTGTATCACTTTCTTCAGAGGTTGTTTCACACTACTTTATTTCAAATTTACCGGCAAAAACCCATAGTAAAGCGAATACTTTCATCAATTTGAATTACTTATGTTTCTGTC